TCTTGCCACACTGCTGGCCAACCAGGTCTTCACTCGGATTCACAGAAGTCTATTGAACATTGTAGGGCTTAGCTCACCGCTTCATTGCTGTTTTTCCCTCACAGTGTGTATTCCCATTGAGTCTTAGTCTTGGAAGGGGGTTTGCACTGAGGGGACCCGACCACTTGCCTTGATGTTTCCTGGGCAAGCATGTTGCTTGTTCTTGTAGTAACAGTCGGTCTGCCTATGTTTTATATTTTTCCTGTAGGTCTTTCAAGAAGTATTTTCTGTTCTAGCCACTCCAGGTTGTTCTGCTTGTCCTTTCAAGCGTGAATCTCCCATCTCTGGAGATCTGGATGTGGTTCAGGCTTCCATCTGTAGTCTTATGTATTGCAGAGGCTCCGCAGGAAGCATCCTTCACTGGGGACGTTGTAGCCCCATTTTAGGTATTCCAATCAGTTATTGGCAGAAGACGGACTTACAAGCTTTCTATGGTGATGCTTGTCTCTATTCCTTTCTCTCCCCCTCCAGTGTCTATTTTATAATATAATGCAAGGAAAACCAAGATTCAAAAGACAGCCAAACATCTTAATATTATTCCCCCCTTTTCCACATTCCAACCATGGCTCGATCTCTGTATCCCAGAACTCTGTTGTTCTCAAGTTGTGCATATATCATTATTTACCTCTGTCTCACTTAGCCCATTGAGACCTGTCTAATTGTTCTCCCATCTGCTTTGTTCTCCCCCTTGCTCTTGAAAACTTGTAAGCTGCCACCCTGTGACTTGATGGTGGTTCATCTTAGCCAATAAGTTACCTGTCCCTATCAACCTTGTTTACTGAGGGGATAGGCTTGATCCTTCCCTCTTGGTTGGTATTTTGAGTTACTACATCTGTAAGCAAAGGTAAAATTTAATTGTAGCAATTTATACTTGCTTCCAGTATCAAACTTACGTATCTTCCTCTAGTCAGGTTCTGATCATCAAGCCATCTGAGTTAGGTCGAATGGATATACTATCTACAAGTTTAGGCTTGTGCACCTCCTGCCAACGTCTGTATTAGCTGGATGCTTCATTCTCAACTCTAGCCCCCAATGGCTAGGTCAGTATCTATGAACTTTAAGAATTCCCAAGTCTCCCAAACTTCGGACCAACCAGCCCTTTTCTCTCATCTCAAGGTCAACAGGGATCTATGGAACATAATTGAACTTAGCCCATGTCTTCATTACTGCCCTTCCCCCATTCCCACTCAAAAGTAGACCAACGTGGTTACAAGCCTGCTCATGTTCCATTTGAGTTTCAGTCTTGGAAGGTGGGATTGTCCTGAAGGGCATTGATGGCTTGCCTTGAAGGCTCCCAGGCAAACAACTTGCTTTTTCTTGTAATAGCACACTGCTTCCCCCCCTCCCCCACTTCCCTTGGTGG